CACTTCCTTTTGCACTTAAACTATATTATTTTTTTTCTCATCACTTAGATAAGTTAGTTATATTCCTCTAAAAATAGAAAAGACCTTCTATGAGTAGATCTCATTGTGAAAAATATTTATATTAAATTTCACAGCAATTGCTGGGCACTTATATTACAACTTCCTTGTGAATTACATAGAATAATAAAAACAGATAATAGTTGCCTAACATAGGCAACAGAGATGTTTCTTAACCTCTGTCTTCTTCCATGATAATTTATTCAGACAAATTGAGTACAAAAAGGAGAGACAGGAGAAGAGAAAGAAGAAATAGAGAAATAAGGGAGAGAGGAAGGATGAGGAGGAGGAGGTATAGGTTTCCCCTGTTTATATAAGCAGTAATTCTTTTGCAATGACTTGGTTCATAGACGTAATACACATTTAAGGAAGACATCTTAATTAGATAATTTTTATAAATGCTTAGGCTAAGCAGATTAAATCAAAGTACCTGCATAATTAAGTAAAACGAGCCACACCTGTCACCTTTCTTTATAGAATTCATCATAATCTCTCAAGCAGGTAAATAATATATTCTTCATCCTAATATAGGTAACCTACTTAATTCATATTTGCCTTTAAAATTGTGAGACATAAATACATAAGAACTTGAAATACATTAAAATAAATAAAATTTATCTTATCAGAATTCCTATGTGCCCTCATGTTGGAAATACATATAATCTGAGAAAATTAAAATAATTTATATTCAGTTACCATAATTATGATAATTTCAAAATACACTTATATTTATTATCATTCTAAATTTACAAATCTTAACAGGGTTATTTTAATAGACTATGAGAAATACAGCTGCATTAAGAATTTACCAATCATACTCTTTTTCTTCCAAATTGGAGTAGAAAAACAACCAAAACAATTTCTGGACCCTGCTTACAGCACTGTCAATTGGACAGTGTCCATGACATGAAATAAATAAACATGGCACTTTATCTTTTATAAAATTCTATGAACTGTCATGATAAGGTATAAGACAACTAGATGAGGTATAATACATAATGACGCTTCTGTGCCAGCAGACATTTTCATAACAGGCCAAGCAATCAACAGGGGCCAACAAATTATTGGACACTTTCCATGGCTGATAGACAATTATGAGCTGTACTGTAATGCAAATTCATACTAGGAAAGTTAAGAAACCACATCATTGGTAGATATATAATGACACTGTTTTTTAAAATCAGCCCTAGACATTGCTTTTCTAAGCAGTTCTAGAAATGATTTTTATTAACCAAAGTTTCTATTTACTAAATGGAATGAGTTCATGGAAAACAGTCTGATAACAAAGACTACATTTTACTATTATCTCTATCAATTTTGTTTCCAAAGAGGGAAGGGGAGTAGCTAGAAATTGGTTAGTAGACACAAAGAATAAGTTTTATAATAATGAGTATGCTAATTATACTGATTTATACATCACATATTGTACACGCGTACTTAATAGTCAACTCTGCGCCCAAGAAAATATGTATACTTGATTATGTTTCAATAGAAATAAACCAAAGCAATTACTTAAGCTTATTTAAAATCTATACATTGCTAGTCCATCCTCCAGAGAGTCTAATTCAGCAGGTATAGAATGGACCCAGGAAAGTGTACTACATAATACAATTGCTCTGTTGCAAAAACTTTTAGACATTCTTACCCATAGCAGACATTGTTTCCATCTTAACATGCTGCTGCATTTGGGTATTGTGTAAATCAGGTCTATAGACTAATTGCAATTAAAATGTTTATTTGACTGTAGAGATGTTGAAATGAAATTTTGTCTATACCAAAAGTACATATATTAATCAATTATTTGACTTCCACTACAAAAATAATTTCCAAAGTTAAAACTTTCATAAACATATTGGTTTACAGAGGAGATTAACCAAACACATTACAGTATTTATACTATAATTTTCTCACCCTCAGTATGGTACCCATATTCCTTGATATTTTGTAAACCAAGAGTTAAAATTATGGGAATTTTAATTCTCTTACTTAGAGAATCACAACAGTGAGAATCATACAGAGCACCTGGTTCTCACATTGATATGGCAATGGTGACTCATGCTCCTCTTCCAGTGTGAGAAAGGCGATGAACTAGCCTATTTGCACCTATTTTTCGGTTTACAGAACAGTTTGCATGAAGATGATTTTTTTTTCCTTTTTGTCTTTTTTCGTGTCCGGCAACGGATCGCAACCCTCAGTGTCGCGCCCGCACCTCGCTCAGCCAGTGAGCGGGAACCGGTCTGTATGTGGGATCCGAACCCTCGGCGGGAGCGCCGCTGCACTCCCAAGCGGCGCACTGCTACAGCACGCCACCGGGCTGGCCCCGCATGAAGATGATTTAAGTTTAACTTATTCTTGGTGTACTTTGAGAGATACGTCAATGATTTCACCTATTTGGTAAGCACAAGCTCTTCCAACAATGAGCACAACCAGATGGAAAAAGTGTCGAAGCAAACCTGGTTTCAATATATAAAGTATTAGGAATATGACATGCCTGATTACAGTTACAGAAGAGTCAAACAGGTATTATCTTATATTTTTTAACCTAATTATTTACCATAACTCTAACACTCATTTGGTAGTGAACATCAATCTAAAGTTATTGTGAGATAATTTATAAAGGAGAATAATATTTTCTGTTGTTTGCTCAGTCTAGATCTACATTAACCTAAAAAATAAAGAATGGAACAGAAAGCTGAAAGGTTAAATAAAACTGTATCTCCAGTGCTCCTGTGCCCGCCATTGGACAGATAGTAAAGACACTGTTTTCTGAGCTGAAGATTTTTAAAAATCATCTCAAAAAAAAAAAAAAAAAAAAGTCACCCAACTTCTTTAAAAGACTTCAGGAATTCTATCACCGTTCAGATAATCTTCCCCTTTGAGATTTAAGGTAAAAAGTACAGCACTCTGGCTGGCTGAGATTTAAGTTTGTTTTCTCCAGCTGTATGAAAATTAAGAAGAGCTGGTTGGTCTCCTACTTAAAATAACTCTTCAAACATTGGAATCAATCTCACTACAGGACCTTGGGAAATAATAAAACCATACATTTATGCAGCATAAAAATATTAAATATAATTTTATTTTAAAGAATTTTTGTATATGTTGATTTAGTTTGTTCTCAAAACAACTCAATGAGGATACTTGAATTGCTACAGGTCAGTTTATGTCAGATAACAGGAAAAGACATGATAAAAATATCTACCTCTTTATATCTCAATAGTTATAAAGGTACACTGAGATAATAAACATGAAGAACTTTAAAAATTAAAAAAGCACTGCTCAAGCGCAAGGGCATAACATAAGTAGTAATATATCCACTGTTCTTTCTCCTTCTACTGAAATGCCTTTACCCATCCCATAGGACCTACTTTCATTTTATTTTAAATTTTTCTCTCTAGATTGTCTGTGCTTTTAAAATATATTAAAGAAATTTTAAAAAAACATAATTAGTTGTTAAAATTCAAAATACATTTCATGCGATGAAGAACAACATAATTATAGTCAGTTCTTATATGTTAATCTCTTATTTTTGTTTCTCATTATCCCATTTCTCTTTTATAAGTGAGATGAGATTAACTTTTAATTCTTATATCCACTATGATTTTACGTTTCTATTTTTTCTGCAACATAATGTCTATGAAGTCTTTCTCATCCTTATAAAGTTTGCTTCTCTCTCCCACACTGTTCTTGTACTTTCCTCTAATGACTTATATCAGGTGCTTAATAGAGCATTCTCTAGTTTAAGGCAATTTGCATCTCAGCCAATATCCCTATGCCTATCATTGCCGATACATAATAGGGACCCAATAAGTTTCTGATGAATGAGTGAATGAATAAGTAAACGAATGAATAAAAAGATGAGAATTTCAAGTTTTTAGCAACTCAAGGGAACGTATGTAGATGAATCAATATATGTGCACACTTTTTTTTTTTTACTCTTTCTATAAAGTCCTAGATTTAATCTTTTCACCAATGAGCTGGCAGGAGCTGCTGACCAGCCGCTTGTTGGAAGAACTAATAAAGTGTGTTCCACATGCTTTATACATATCAACTCATTAATTATTTCCTACAACTTTATGATTTTATGAAGAAATGAAGCAAAAAGAGTGAAGTGACTTTCTCAACAAGACCCAAGAGTTAGCATGTGGCAGAAGCAGGATCTAGACCCAGACACAACAAAGTCCACACGTAGAGGTTTTTGTTAATAGACAAGGGATCTTCAAAACTCTTTAGTTCGATGTAGTTATTTAACAGTGCAAATTTAATATTAATAACCATGAAAAACTGGAGCTGCTCAAAACCTGTTTAAATACTAATTTATTAAGGTGATTCTTTATACAAAATCATACAATAGACAGTTCCCTCAAATGCTTTCTCTTTGCTCTTTCATTTAGCAATTCCTTCTTACTCTTTTTTGCAGGTATTCCGAAGTCTGTATTACTGAACACAGGTCTATACTAAGTTGCAGCCTTGCTAATATGTTGACATTTTCTACAAAAATACTTTCCTAAAAACACCTACCTGAAATTACCAGATAGGTTTCTTGACTTGAAACAGTATAAGAAAGGTTCTTTTACTTCACTTTGGATTCACAAAACACTTTCAGCAACTTTTAGATCATGAATTTTTATATGAAGAATCTAATATTTCTCAAAAATCTCTCTGAACAGGATATTTGTTTGCTTGTGACATTTATGAATACAATATTTTAAGGAACTATAATTTTGTATCCTATTATACAAACACATTATATGGAGCATATTGCAGTTCAATTTTACTATGTCCATTTACCAAAAGCTTTTCAGTTATCTCAGAACTTTCTGAAAAAAAAGGTGCTTGTTCCTACATATACCATAGAAATCATTTGTTCTATAAGAAGGTTAAAGAGCCTGTTTAAACATTAGTTGTTGATAACAGACATATAACACAGATAGATAGTTCCATACCTGTTTTATTGGAAAGTCTAAATGACACCATCTTATCAGGAATATTACATACATTCCTCACTGAAGCAATGCAGCTATAGTTAGCATAATCCTGAGGTCGAAGATTCTTTAGTTTTAAGATCTTTGTTTCACCCTGAAAATGTAGAAAAGGTCATTAGGTAAAAGCCGTGGAAGCAGAATGAATAAATAAAGCATGACATTATATTATATTAAATCATATTATTATTGAAATATGGCCAATTGTCATATTTTTTAAGGAAAAATGCCCTTTTTAAAAAAAAAATATTGCACTTTAAAATAATACTTTAATATGCCCAGGGATAAAAACTAACAGACTACAATAAAAATTCATAATGTTTTCTTTGCAAACTAGCTTCCTAGGGGAGCAAAATCTATTTATGGTGGTAGTTATGCAAATTATTATGCAAAGATCAGAACAGTGTACTTAATAACAGAGTTCATTAAACAAACATTGCAATCTATGCAGACTTCAACATGAAATGTTATGATAGAAAAGGATTCTAAAGAAGATCCAACAAATGAAACACCGTTGTTAGAGCAAAGATAATGAAGAAAATCTATCAAACAGTAGATAATTAAATTTATATACATCAATATGTTGTGTATATGGAGCAATGACAGGTGACTGATCTAAAGCTGAATGAAAGAAGCATTCATGAGTGCTTCTATACTCTTATTGTTATTATTTTATGTACAGGAGTTCAAGGGTTAGGCCTTCAAGTAAATCTGCAAAATTGTAGATAGATCCAAGTCAGGCAAGTGGCCAGAAGTATCGTATAAAGTATTGATGAGCCAGGAAAAAACACGTAAAAACAATAGATTGAAATTGTTCAAAGGGTAAAAAAGAACAAAGAAAGAACAATGAGCCTTCCTGTCCAATTCAAATGAGGTTCCCTGGGATTTCTTTGCCTTCTAAATTTATGAATGCATCTTCTCAAAATTGTTTCTCTCATAAGTAACTACTTATGATAATGGCAAAACAGTGTCCCAATTACTTCATATTTGGAATAGCAATTTGCAAAATGTTAATTTTTTCCAGATAACATCTGTATGGGACAATGTGCTTCATTTTATTCGGGTAACATTAGTCAAGTGTTAAAAATCACAATACTTTCATAAGCTCTTGAGAAGCTCTGGGATTCTTAGTGACTTAACAAATAAAAACACTGTTGTGCATTTGCAAAAAAGATTGCCCAGACATAGGCATACAGCATTCCCAATGTGTCAAATGAATCTCTCTTTCAGTGTACCGACCTGGGCACTCTGGCTTTATGGTCACAAAAACCTTATGGTCTTTTCATTCACTGTCAACATTCAATCTTAAGTGAGTTGCACATTTAGCATTTTTCTCAGTGGAATAAACAATAACCTTCTGTCTTTAATTTTTTTTTAGGAAAGATGTTGCATTTTTCCTATACAAATAAATATAAATGCATCCCATACAAATGTACACAGAAGTTTGTGTATGTTTCTGGAATTGATATTTAAAACATGTTCTCTTGTGCTACAGAGTTCTCATACATTACTATATAAAATGCCTAGAAAAAATGTGCTTAGAAAGAAGAGTTGAAAGAAAATGTTATACTAGAACTAGTTGGCTCAGGTAATTTTTGAATGAAGTGATACAATACTCCTCCTCCTACCTCTGTAATACTTATTGCTCATATTTCCTTGCTTTTCTTTCTCCTTTTGATGTGTTTGGATATATCTGTCCTCACAAAGCTCACATTAAAAACTTAATCCCCACTGTAAGAGTGATAAGAGAATGGGAAATTCTATTATGATAATTGAAAGGTGGGGCCTTTGGAAGGTGGTTAGATTGTGAAGACTGTACCCTCATGATTGGATGGATCCATTCATGGAGCAATGGGTGTGGCTTTATAAGGAGAGCAAGTGAAGAGGTTAGTCTCTCTCACTCAAACCATCTGCCAAGTGACACCCTGCATTGCTGTAAATAGTCACTCACCAATATGGCCCTCACCAGATGTGCTCCCTGGACTTTGGACTTACCAGCCTCTGAAACTGTTATGAAATAAATTCTATTTTTTTTTTTTTTATAAATTACCCAGTTTCAGGCATTTTGTTTCAAGCAACAAAAACAGTCTAATATACCTCTCAACACTTAACTATTGGTATTCCCTGGGATTTTATTTGTTCTCAAGTTAACCTTTATAACATTTCCCTAGGTGATCTTATCCTCCCTGATGAATTTCTACTAAAGGCCCTATTTTCCTGCCCTTCCCCCAAGTCTGTATTCATATTCCAGAATTCTCCCATGAGTTTCAGATGCATATACCAAATTTTTACCTCAATATGTCCATTTTGGTACTTCACAGAAACCTTACATTCAACATATACTAAATGAACTTCAAATCTATTCCTCTAAACCACTTTTCTTTCTTTAATAACAGGAATCTTAGACTCAATTAGAACTTCTTATTCATAAATTCAATATCTCTCTCATGGCTAGATCCTTTTATTGACCTTTAATCATGTTCAGTCTTGATTATTCTTTTTATTTATTTTTAATCAGAATGATATAAACCCCTACACTGAGCTGAAAAAAATCCTAACTATGCTTAGTATAGTTTAAAGATGCAATCAAGCATAGGATTTTTTCAGCTTTATTGAAGTATAATTGACAAATAAAAATGTATATATTTAAGGTGTACAACTTCATGTGTTTTTTTTAAAATTCAATTTTATTATATTTATTTTTGTGGGGTACAGTGTGTTGTTTCAATAAATGCATATACCACACAATGATTCACTTAGGGTAGATGGCAGAGTTTTGTCCCCATTAGTTCACCCCTAATCTTTGCCCCCGACCCTACCCCTTCCAGCCTCTGGTAACCATTATTCTACTCTCTACTTTTCGTAAAAAAAATTAATAAATAAACATACAAAGATTGATTAACATCCTTATTGCAAAACGAACTCTTAAAAATGAATTAGAATTGTCATTGCATTCTCCTTGCATCCCCGTTACCACCTCATTCTTTTAGTGCCTTATATACACCCAGCTTCCTCCTTCCACAGACCCTTTGCACATACCTGGCATCTCATCTCTATATCTAATCAACTCCATCTCATTCTTGGATGCCAACAACCCTCACTTCCACAGGTGAGGCATTCATTCCTCACCTTCTGGAATAGGAGGAATCCCTATGCTTCTGTTTCTTTGTAACAGTCTCATTTTTACATTTATTTGGGTGATGGATTTTTTTCTTCAAGACTCCTCCCCTGGCTAGTAAGCACCTAGAGGTTAGGGAGTATGTCTGTCTTGCTTTCAGCCTTATATTCTAAGCATCCCCTAGCACAGGACTTAGCATGGAGGGAACACTTTTTCAATTAATTCTTTTTCAATTAAAAGTACTATAACTACCTATCTTTGACAATCCAGGGCTTTGCTTTACACATATTTACTTCTCCAGAATTTACTACCTGCTTCATACTTGATACAAACTCAATAGAGGATAAAAAGATAAAATATAGGGCCGGCCCGGTGGCGCACTGGAGGGTGCGCCGCTTGGGAGCGTGGTGGCGCTCCCGCCGAGGGTTCGGATCCCATGTGGAGACCGGTTCCCGCTCACTGGCTGAGCGCGGTGCGGGCGCAACACCGAGAGTTGCGAGCCCGTTGCTGGTCCCCGGTATGGGCGCGACAACGAGGGTTGCGATCCCATTACTGGTCAGTAAAAAAGACAAAAAAGGAAAAAAAAAAAAAAGATAAAATATAAACAGATTAAATGCACTTTGAGAAAGATGACCGTAGCATTTTACACATATTCAATAGATATTTGCACACATAATAAAAAAGAAAGCGGAACTAGGTTATATTTTTAGTTTTGGAAGGAAATTTGCATTTCAGATAAAATATCAGAATAAGGCAAAACTTAATTCATACCAAAAGTAACAAATAAAAATCAACAGAAATATAAATGAAATATACATAAATACAATGAAATAATAATATATAACATATATGCAATTACATATTATAGTAAATATATAGATATACACACACAAGCTTACTTCAAAAAGTTTATAGAAAAATTCATATTATCTTTTAATTCTATTTTTCCATGAACTTTTTGAAGTACCCTCACATATATACATATTTATATAATTACAATTACTCCAAGAAAAATTCCCTACTAGCTTTTTTTGGGTGCGTGTGATCCGAACCCTCGGGCGGGAGCGCCGCTGCGCTTCCCAAGCGGCGCACTATCCAGTGCGCCACCGGGCCGGCCCCCCGAAAGTTTTTTTTGTATGTAGTCAATATTCTGAAAGCAATCATACAATGATAATGCTTGTCAAATATATGCAAAGGATGAACAGTATCATTTAGATGTATATTTAATGATAGTCTTTTGACTCACATAGAGTTAATTATACTCCGTCAGTATTTCTTTTTTTCTGTTTCTACTGACAAATTATTTTTTAATCCATATTTTCTGGATAATACTTTTCAATACTCCACTGAAACTGTACCTACTAATGTCGTCAATAATGCTCTTTTGCTAAAATTCAATAAACCTTTCTTTTGTATGCTTCCATACTTCTCTACTTATTTATAACACATCAGATTATCTTTGCTACTTTCACAGCCTCTCATGTATAGGTAGTTAGTGATAAATATAATAATTTAGTCATTTTTTGTATGTTTTTCTATTTCACTTTCTATCAAATTTAAGTCTGCAATCTTGTACAAACATAATTCTAGTGAAATCTTATCCACTATCATAATTTCATTTAGCACCTATGTATAAATAACTGACAAATCTCTAAGCATAAATAAGTCACACTTGCAAAAATTACCAATAGTATTAAAATTAATAAATTCTAGATTTTGCTAGTTTTTCCTGTCCTTTTAGTTGCAAAGTTTGCTAGCTATTTCTCTCTTGCACTTGATTTTTTTCCCCCCTTCTGGATTTCTTAAGGTAATCTATCCTGGTTTTTAAATTCCCTTTGGCTATCTATCTATCTATCTATCTATCTATCTATCTATCTATCTATCTATCATTTATTGACTTTATTTTTCCTGCATTATTCACCACCACCCCTCAAAAAACAAATTAGACTTGTCTGTTCCATGTTTAGATTTTTCCACCT